AGGCAAAACGACTGGCAAAATGAAAACGTCTAGTATAAGTGGTGATACATGTATCAATTAGCATCTTAATTAGTGTATCAATAGTAGTTATGACATTATTATTGACCCTACTCATTAATTACATTACAAATTTTAAAATTTTTTTAAATTATGTCACATCATCAATTGATACAACAGTTAATATATCAATTGGTACGTATAATATTATTCGTCTAGCATACACTAGCATACACATCAGTGTTTTGTTGGCCAAAAATTAACTGAATCATTCTTGACAATTTGAGAATTTTGCAACCTATGTCCACCCAACCATGCTTAGAACATGAAGGTTGCTGAAAATTTTGACAAATTTTAAACCAACAACTTGCGTGGGTCGGATGAGTTAAAAATATAGAATGAGAGAACATATTAGTGAAATGTAACTGTAAGAATTTATGTATTATTGATTGATTGATTACAAGATTGTTGTGTATATTGATATTTTTATCTGTATATTACAAGTCCTATATATAGAGAGGTTTTGGGAGTAGTAGGTGTAGAGTGGGTGGTGGTAGTAGGTACAACTGGGCCTTGGCCTCTTCAGCCTTTAACTTGGCAGCCCCTACCTTCCTAAGAAGGGCCCCTGCCAAGGTAGTTACCTCAATTTGGGCGGAGCATAACCCCCTCTGCAGGTCAGCCTTATTATATCCTGATGCCTCGCGCAGAGCTGTCTCCTCCACAATCTTCACCAAGCGGTCTGCCCCTGCCCTGGCTGGGCCTCCTTCTCCCTCCAACCTTCCAGCTACCGCGCGAGCGTGATAGATTGCCGTGGCCAGACGGACCCCTCCTTCCTGGAGGGCAGAGCCCTTTTGGGTCTGTTCCCTCCCGCTTGGCACACCCTCGGCCAACCCAACTCCTACTTGCTCTGTTGGGGCAGTCTCCACAACCTCCTGAGTTGGGGTGACCCCCACCACCTCTGGGGTATCCTTGGCCACAGGGACCTCCACCTCAGCTGGGGCCACCTTAGCCTTCTTGGCCCCAGACTCATCTGCAGGTTCCTCTGGGGCACTCCTCTTTTTCTTCTTCTTCTTCAAAGCCTCCCCCTCCCTTCTGGCTTGTTCTTTCACAGGATCTACTGGGGGCGGTTGTGGCTCAAAACTGCTTAAGTCTTTCCCCCCCAACGGCCTTGGGCGCAGTCGGATCCTTTCCCGCGCGATCGGTTGAGGCGGTCGGTCTCCTCGCGCTTCCTTCAACTTCGTGGCCTTGGCCAGTACGGCCTGATCCTCTACCTCCTGAGCTTCTCTTCTCGCCTCCAATTCTGCTCAGTCAAGGTCCCCACCCCTCGGCTGCGGTCCCAGCCCTGCCTCAAACAATGCGGACGGTTGAACAAGCTCGTCCCATTTGACCTTCTCTCTCTCCCTCTACTCCTTCACTCTCTTCACCCTCTCTTCCGCTACTGCCCCCAGTCTCTACTCCATCGACCTAGTGGGCACCTTCCAGATGGTGCGCACCCCCACTCCCCCATTAGCAGACACGTAGAACCACCGTGGCCGCCATCCCTTGATCGATGTCGGCAGCCCCGCCACCAATCCCCTCCCCATCACCGCCTGTAGGGTGACCCACGTCTCTTGCTGTCCCGACGCCTTGTAACACGAAAAGAACTTGTCTACCGCCATGGCCTCCCCTCCATTCGCCTTGGGCCACGCGCTCGTACAAGCCAGCAGAATCTTCCATGCATTGGGCATTAATTGCCCCGGCGCTACCTCCAGGCGATTCAGCACGTCAACCACCACTTGGGGCAGTGGCAACCTCAGCCCACCCTTTAGCGCCTCCTCGTAAAGGGAAAACTCCCCTGGCCTAGCATCGGATGGCCTTTCCCTTGATGTTGGCAGCAATAACTCCACCTCCGCCGAAATCTGGTATCTTTCCCTGATAGCCTCAAAATCCGCCGCAGTAAGTGTGGATTTGTCCGCCTTAGTGTGCCACTGATCTGGCTCTACCTGGCTTATTGGCTTTGGAGCCAATATCAGGGCCGACGCCTACGATTCTCCTACCGGTTCCCCCACCCCCACCATTCGTGTCTCCGTCCTATATCGCGCTGCTAGCTCCTCTGCATTATCGTCTCCCAGAGGGTCCACCCTCACATTGACCACTTCTTCTTGTGCCATTTCTAGGGTTTGCTTACAAATCACTTCTGACGCAGGAGCAAGGAAGTTGAGAAAATGTTTCACAGGTGTGTCGTACGCAATGAAGGAATTAACACTTGGGTATTTTGTACTTTTGTAAAAAGGTAGCTGAAATGCATTATACCAAAAACCCACGGTTTGCCCGTATTCCATGGATCCACATTAATTTTCGCCCGTTTCAAAACCTTTCAAATCAACCGCCAAAACCGCCTTTTCAAAACCCCCCTCGTGACCTATCGTTTCATTTCTGCTCCAACGCTTCACTTCCCCCACGATATTACCACGTGTATGGCCACGATGCACTGTCCCCTCCCCTTCCCCTGTCCTTTCCATTTCACATCATGAAGAGCCTTGCTGCCGGTTGAAGGAGGTGATGCCGGAAACCGTGAAGACTACATTTTTTTTTTTTATTTATTTATTTTTTTTTTTTTGGAATAATAAGAATAATAATAATATATAAAATAAAGTGTCTTGAGTGGAAGAGGGATGTGGGCGGTGGGAAAGTGCAAAAGGTAATGGAAGATAGGTGGGAAAGTTGAGAAAGTGGTGGGTGGAAATCAAAAAAAAAAATAAAATATGATGAAAGTGGGACTAAAAAAAAAACTGCAAGATGTATTTGAGTGGGATGGTTGATGCCTTCCCAACATTATCACGTGGGAAAAGGGAGTGTGGAAAATGGAGTAAAAAAAAAAGAAAAAGAAAAAACATAGGTTGGAGAGTGGGTCACATGGGAGAGAGAAAAACAACATAATTGGGCTTCGTATGCAAGAGAGTTCACTGCGTCTTCTCTCTGATGGGGTGGGATCTCATTTAGGAGTTTACTAACATTGCTTGCACCAAATATTTTGTGGACATTGGCAAATTTTGGAGGCTCCTCCGGCGGAAAAGAGGGTGCAAAGAGGCAGCCTGGCAGGCATTTTCGCCTCAAGAACTTGCAGGCATCACAAGGAGAGTTGGAGTAGCTGGAAGAAGAAGCCATCTTCACGTGGCCATTAGGGATTGAGTCTGGGCTGTGGCGCGAGAGATGAAGGTTGACGGTGGTGGCGGCGGCGGCTCTAGCGGAGAGGCGGCAAAGGCCGGCTATATGGGCCGGGTTCAGACCGGTCATTCTCCGGAGGGGTGATATTGGTGTCAACACACTAGAAGATCTTGTAGCTGGTAGTAAAGAGGTAAAGATAGTGATTCAGTGAATGACATAGGCAATTGTGGAGGTTTGAATTGGTTGAGCTCCGGCGGGCGGTCAAGGCAAGGTTGCCGCCCGCCGGAAGGCGATGAACACCAAGATCTTTAACCTTGCTCTGATACCATGTAAGAATTTATGTATTATTGATTGATTGATTACAAGATTGTTGTGTATATTGATATTTTTATCTGTATATTACAAGTCCTATATATAGAGAGGTTTTGGGAGTAGTAGGTGTAGAGTGGGTGGTGGTAGTAGGTATAGTGGAGGTGGTAGGTGGAGTGGGTGAGGAGTAGTGGAGGTGTGTAGTGGTAGTGGTAGGTTTTAGTGGTGTAGGAGGTGTACATTAACATGTAATTTTTAAACTACAAAATTTATTAATTATTCCAAATTTCAACACAAAACTCACAAATTAACCAAATGTATTATGCTATTCAAATCATTTTTACAACTCAATATGCAAAACAATCAAATTAGAAAAATATGCCATGAGAACTAGGAGTGAGTGTCTTTGATTAAGGATATTAGATTTGGGGATAACTGTTCGTTAGTCATAACTAATACAATTTGAGTAATTCAGATAATTTAATTACTTTTTGTCAATAGTGCTACACGATAGAGTGGGTATATGGATTGGTGAAAGAAGGAGAGATGTGACTGTGAGAGGAATAGCAGCGAATGGACAAAAGAGATGGAACGATGATAGTAGATTGGGGGAGAGGAAATGTGGTGATGGAAGATAGTAAGAGAGTGAGAGGTAGTTGTCAACAACAATGAATGAAAAAAAAAGTAATTAAATTATCTAAATTGTCAATTCTCAGTTAGTCATACAAATAGACAATTAGAATGAGTATCATTTTAAAAACTCAAGGTTTAAATTTAAATAATAGAAAGATCTCAAAGTTTGATCTCGCAACAAAATAAATTATGAATTTTTAATTTTATCAATTTAATTTTTATCTTTTGATTTGTTTTTACTCTAAACTATTAGCTTATTTTCGTTAAGTAAAATCAATAGAAAAATAGTATTTTAGTCATTAAATTTAATGTAAGTGTACATAAAATGTTTAAAATATCTATTTTCGTTGAGCTTAATGATTAAACTACTTTTTTCTATTAATTTTACTTGACAAAAATATACAAATAATTTAAATTGAAATAAATAAATATTTAGAATTTAAATTCATAAAATTAAAAACTCAATATTTATTTTATTAAAAAAGTCAAACACTAAGGTTGTATTTAGTTAAATTTTCAAATCAATTTTTTGAAATGAAAATTCCTAAAGACTTGTTTGGTTTACAAATTTTGAAAAATTATTTTCAAAATTGTTTTTTTTTTCTCTTTGTTCTCTTTCTCTCTCATCTTATACATCAATCAATTATTTTTTTTCTTTCTCTCTCTCTCTCTCACTCATATTCTACACATCAATTAATTAATTTTTCTCTCACACATCTATTCAACTATACAAAAAATTACAAATAATTTCAAAATTATTTTCACAATATTTAACAAAATTAAATTTTAAATTTTGCAAACTCATTTAAAAAAACTAACTTTCAAAATTAATTCTCAAAGCTAAATCAAACTGAGCTTAAATTTTTTTTAATATAATTTGTCCGAAAATTAAAGTTTGACTTGTTATCAAATCAAATCCTGAACGGCGTGGACCGGCCCGAATCAGGTCAGCCCGGTTCAACGCTGAAGTTCCGTTTGGTTTTTCGATTTTGGGTTTAAGTCGATCATCATCATCATCATCACTCGCACAGCTGGTGTACTGCACCGGTTTTCCTCTGATTTCTTCAACAAGGTTCATCTGATCGTCCTTGGAGGCCAGGCTTATTCAAATTTGTGAATCAAACAGGTCAAGATTTGTTTTTTCGATTCTCATTTGTATATATACCACAAGCATATATTTTGTTTTTCACGGATTAGACTTCTGAACTATTATCTAATGACTTGTATTTGATAAAATCATATGTTTCTGTTTGGATTGTTCGGATTGCATTTCATAATTGAGACTCCTAATAATAACTTTTGAAGATATATTTAGAATTAGGAATGTTTGCTTCAATGAAAAATGCACTGTGTTAAATTTTTATGGTCTGTTTGATCGGTCAGAACTAAGGGGAAAGAAATTAGGAAAAAGTAAACAATTTTTTTCTTTTTTTTCTTCCCTATATAGACACTTTTTATTTATGAGAAAACATCAAATGAATGACAAATGGGGAAACTATTCTCAATTGAGTGGGAAGTTTTCATAATTTCAACATGATGAGGAAAATGGCGATTGGGGAGTTGCATAGGGAAGAGAAAGAGAGAGGGAGGAAGGGCACTTTGGTCCAACCATAGCAAGATTTTGGGTAATTCTATTTTGACATACCAATTCCCTTTTGTGCACACAGTTAGGCTGTGTTGGGCTTATGGATTTGGTGAGGGATTGAGAAATGGAAAGGGAAAAGGTACATGAAATATAAGAGGAGTGATGGAGACCCCCTCCAAGCACCACTCCCACCACCCCCACACACATGTGGTAGGTGGTGATTGGAGGACAAGGAAAACAAAAAAAAAAGAGAAAAGAAAATCCAACCAATGAGAGAGAGGGGGTCAAAGGGGGTGGGAAAAAAGGGGGTCTTAGACATTTTTGGAAATATAAATACATTTTACACACCATTTTTCCTTCTATTTTTAAATCTCTTTCCAAATTCATGAACTAAATACAGTGTTAATGACCATCTTCTCAGTACACACAACAACAACAACAAAAAAAAAATCTCAGTTCACATTTCTTTATTCCAATAATACCCTCATCTTTAATTTCAAAACCCTAAATTTTCTTCTTTCCACCCACTACTCCTTTCCCACCATTACTGCTACTCTCCATCGCTGCCACCACCACCACTCCGAGCTCATCCCCTTCCATCTTAGGCCTCCACAGTCAACCTCAAAATTGGGTGGTTCACGGTGGGAGGTTTGTGGAAGTGTACGATTCATGACGGAAAGTGGTCGTAGGTGGAAAGGGAAAATGGCGATGGGAGGGGATGTCGGAGAAGAGAGGTGGCGCTGGTGATAGAGGATGCTTGTGGTGTTTTAGAACTAGGTTTTGGGTGGAAGAAGATACGGATATCATAGTACTTTTATTCTACAACAAAAATTGTATTAAGGAAAAATTTCATTGAGTGTGTGAATTGAGGGGAATTGGTGTGTGTAAATAGAGTTACCCCAAGATTCCGCCATTTGAAATTATTTTTCTCTATTCCATATGTGTTGAAATTTTCATAAAGCTCCAACTGAATTGATAATACTTTTCTCATTTGTCATTTTTCTGATATTTTCTCTTTATTTTGTAAACACCAAAATAGAACTTGCAATAATTTGATATTATTGTCTCACCAAATACCATGATGCCTGGGACTCGCAAACATGATTGAAAATGTTGTAGCTAAGGAAATTTATTTGATTTTATCTTCATTTTCTTGTTGAGTATGTGCGGAGTTGTGTATAGATATCTCTGTATATGTACATATATATGGAGATAATTAATTTCAACCTAAAAAAAGGAAGTGTCAGCACTTTAGTAGCAACTTTCACGAGCTCTTCCTTGTAAGCTTTAAGAAGACCTATATTGATTGCATTTCAAACTAACCTACCAGTTATCATGTTTCAAATTTGCATACTCCAATAAGCTCATTTTGATGGTAATATGTTCTAGAAGCTTATTGCAAACATATTCACGTCTCAATTATGGGATTTTTTTTCTTTTTTTTTGGGGATCACTTTGTAGTTTTAGGGCCCATTTCCACTTATATGCTTTTCTAGTTTTCCGTTCACTATAAATTTTCATAGAAATTTGTTGAAAAATTTATTTTTAGAATTATGAAAAAACAGTAGCATTTTAGGCAACCATAGTAAAAAAACCGTTTAAAACTCTATTTGTTACATAACATTTTGGTGGCATTTCCATGTTGGACACTTCTCAATGTGTCGGATACATGTCCAATTGTGTCCTATTGCTATTTTTAATGTTTTAGATCTAATCACGCTTTGGGCAATTGGGGAATACATGCCCATCACTTAAACACGAATGAAACAATTACAAGTTGAAAGAAAATAATTTGGGATCTAATGATAAAAGAAAAATAATATAAAATTTATAGCTATTAATCACTCTTTTATATTTTAGGAATTAGTCTTATGTTGCATCTTTTTAATTATATTTGAATGAAATATTCATATATAAAAAAATTATGGGAAAATTACAAAAAAATACACTGGGGTTTGACCCTTTTAACAAAATAAATCTTGAGTTTTTAATTTTGCTAGTTTAAACCCTAATATTTTGATTTGTTATCAATCTAAGTTTTATTATTATTTATGTTTTGTTTTTAAGGGTAATGCTATGATACACACCCTCATATGCAAGTTATGACGTTTGTGGGGTTGATTATCACAAATGTCATAACTCAATCCTATGGGAGTCATAACTAAAAAAAAAGAGTTATAACCAAACACTACATAAGGTATAACCAAAGAGCTCTTGGATCATAATCAAAATAATGTCATAACCAACATCACAATGAGTCATAACTAACCCCATAATGTGTATAACTAAGTTATAACCAAGTCATAAATAACACCTCAACAAGTCATAACTAAAGAGGAAAAAGATCAAAACTAGGGTGCATTGGGGTGTGTACATAGAAATTTTCATTTTTAAAGTCGTTTCCCCAATTGGTGGGACAAAGTTCTCTCTTGATAGGAAAACTGCAATTTTATTTATTTATTTTATTTCTCTTGGATGATTTCGAATTTATCCCATGAGTACTGTTGGAGAAGAAGCACAAGGTCTTATTGAAATTGACCTTTTGGCCACTAAAACCAGTAGAAGGGCTATATATCTTCTTTGAGGGATCACTTTTTTGCGTCTTCAGTTTGCACCCTGAAAGAATGGCTTAGGAAACAACATTGGGATCATATTTGCCAGAGTTAGGTGTTTCTACCTCTATGGTTTTGGGCAAGCTGGGAATAGGACAGATTGGAATTGGAAGGGTGACTCCAGAAGGAGCTGTCTGTACCCTCAAATAATTTGAGCACTTTTTCATCAAATTTAAATTTGATAAAAGAAAAGCTGAAGGATTGGAGATGCTCTAAACTTTGAACTTTTTGATAGAAGAGAAATCAAATCATCAATTTTTGTCAAGTAATTGCTAAGCCAGTGGGCAGCAATTTCCATCGCTAATATTGGCCCACAATGTGGTTTATTAATATTCAAAAAACCCTCCTGAAATGCGTCATTATTGGTTCATAATGATATTTTCTTCCATAAACAACTCTCATATTAAGGAACAAGAAATTTTCTGTTATTGCACCCAATTGCCTTTGTTGTCTCCTTGTCCTCATTTAAAATGTTTCTTGCCTTTGTTGTCTCTTCTTCTTCTTCTTCTTCTTCTTCTTCTTCTTCTTCTTCTTCTTCTATAACCCTCATTTTTACAATTTTGATTATACACAACAGTGACACCTTTGACACCTTTTCCTTTTTTCTTTTTTCTTGAATATAAAGCCTATCATGCCTCTTTCTTTGAATCCACTAGTATCCTCTATAACCCTCATTTTTACAATTTTGATTATACACAACAATGACACCTTTGACACCTTTTCCCTTTTTCCTTTTTCTTGAATATAAAGCCTATCATGCCTCTTTCTTTGAATCTACTAGTGAATGGGAAATCCACAAGGTTGTTCACAGGACTAGTGAATCCTGCTTAGTGCTTCCCTGGTAGAGAGCTATTTTTAAGGGATCTCGTAGAACTAGCTTGATTTTAGTCTCCTAAACTCTGTAGAAAGAAAATATCGATTGGTTTAGGGAAATGGCATAATTGTGTATATATATTTGTTTGGTGTTGAAGCTAGTGCTTGGTTATGGAAATATGGGGTGCAATGTTATTTTATGTTTTAGCTTTCGTTTGATTCTGATTTGAATTGGATATGTACCTTGTTGTGGGTGAAGAAATTTTTATCAATTTTTTCCCCATAGTTGATGGTAGGAGGATTACATCTCTCTCTCTCTCTCCCCCCCCCCCTCCTAAGTGTCAATGACTATTATGCCTAGTGGAGAAAGTAGGTCTTAATGTGATTGTGTGAGTTACATATTACGATCTTATATATAACCATGTAATTTATCTATTGGAAGAATGAGGGTAAATGAGTAAGTTGATTGAGAGTATAGTATGAGTTAGCCATTTGAGTATGAGTGAATGCAAAAGTTTTAGTTTTCACCTCTAATTCATTTTCAAATTATTTGAGTGATTGTTATATCGCCTTTTATTTCCAACAAAGTGGTATTAGAGCTACTACAATTTTGGAAGTGTTGATAGATTATTATTGTGGTATGATGATTGTGGAAGAATCACCAAGCATGTATTTTTGGTGTGAGAAGCTGATATTTTGTAGTTACAAAAGAATGAAGATTGTTATATCTTCTTACTTCAAAGTATGTGACTTCTATGATGTAGTAGGAAAAGAGCCAAGTAATGGCTTGCGTAGAAGAATTCAGGAGAAGAAAGAGGAAAAGGCACTCGGAATTTTCAAGAAAGCAATACATTTAGAAATATGGACGTATATTGGAGATTCAAGATCACCACATCATGTTTGTATATTGATTGAGAGTGTTGTCTCTAAACATGAAGGTGAGTTTTATCCAATGAGAGTAGACTTGTAGCTTCAAAGAAGATGACTTTTGAGAAGAAGAGTGAGATGTTGATGACGCACCAATTGAGGTTGAGGAAGATTATCATGTCATTGAGGTTGAACGATTTGAGGATGCCGAAAGTTGTAGGAAAATATGAAGAGGAAGATGAAAATGAAGAGATTGATGTTTGGGTGGGTGATTCTTCCTTTGAAGTGTCCTATCCACATTTACATAGAGTGGCCCGTTCTCATAATCTTTCCATTGTCTCTTTGACATGTTCTTGTTTGGCACCGATTTCTTGGAATTTAACTTTTTCAGGAATCTAAATGATAGGGAGGCCAGGGAGTTGGTTTCTTTGTTGTCCTAGATTGACCATTTTTCTTTGACTGGTGATAAAAGGATTTGGTTTGGCTTCTTCATTCTTCAGGAATTTTCTCTTGTAAGTCCTCCTTTGATTAGATCATTGATAATCCCTGTGCTTCTTTTTTTCCTTTCCATAAGAGAATTTGGAAATCCTTTGTGCTTCTTAAGGTGAAGATTTTTATGTTGTTGTTGGTTCATGACTAATGATATATTGCAAAAGAGGAGGCCCAATCATTATCTATGTCCTCAATGGTGCATCATGTGCGGTAGGAATGGCGAATCCTTGAATCATTTATTTTTACTTTGGGTTTATGGCATAAATTTTTCTTTTTGGAAACCTTATGTGTGTGGCCCGAAAGATTGTGCCCACATGATTTTTATTTGTTTTGGAGGCTTGGGAAGCAAGAAGAGACCAAAGGTGATTTGGTGTTGTGCAGTTTTTGCAACCTTTTGAGTTATATGGCTGGAAAGAAAGGCAAGGTATTTTTAAGGCAAATTTGGGGACTTGGATTTTTTGTGGGATAAGTATGGCTACAGTGTCTCCCCTTTTTAAAGGGGTTCCACTCTTTTTGATTTTTAGGGATTGGTTGTTAGTTTAACGTTTAGATTTTTATTTTCTTTTGTATTTAGATTTTTACAGGGAAAAGAAGTTTAGATTTTTGATTTTCTTTTGATTTTTAGGGTTCCAATTTTTTTTAATTTTTTTTTAATAATTTGGGAGTTTGTTGTTTTAATTTAACATTTAGTTCATGCATGTGGTAGAGTTAGTCGTGTTAGTGGGAATGTTAATATGCATGTAGTGGAAAATTAATTTTGTTAATGATTATAATGCCTAGTGGAGAAAGTAGGTTTTATTGTAATTGTGTTGTGTGAGTTACACATTAGGATCTTATATATAGCCATGTAATTTATCTATAGAAAGAATGAGAGTAAAAGATTGAGTTGGTTGAGCGTATGAGTATGAGTAAGCCATTTGAAGTATGAGTCAACAATTGTTGAGACCATATGATTCCTGTTTTCTGTTATCATGTTTGCAACTGTTCCTTCTTGTTCTTTGTTATCTGTCAATCCTAAATGATGAATGAATAGCACCTAAAGGATGAAGAAAATGTTTTTATTTTTTTTGACATTTGGTTTATCTGTTAATCATACTTAGATCAAGATATGTCATTGGTTTGATTTTATGATAACTGTCATTTTTGTTATGCTTTTTTGAATTTTTAATTCAATTGTGATCGTCATGGTAAATTTTTGGCATTGTTTGTGACAGTTGCCAAGCTTGGGTTGCATGACACTTTGAGAAAACATACACAATCATAAATGGGTGATACTAATGACAGTATAAAGCCCGAGAGAATCATTTTTGTAACTGTAGGAACAACTTGTTTTGATGCTCTTGTTAGAGTGGTGGACACTCCGGAAGTTAGACAGGAATTATTTAACAAAGGGTATACCCATCTTCTCATTCAAATGGGCCGTGGATCCTACATCCCCACCAAGGTATATTTGAGGTTTGGTTTCTAGGTTTTACTTTTAATGGATTCATTGCTTTGTTGTCTAATACAATGTCTTTAGTGTTTTTATTTTTACCTGTGTGTGTATTATGTCTAGTTTTGTATTGTCCACTTTTTCATTCTTTGTTAATTTCCTTTATTGAAATTTTCACCAAGGATGAAAATTGTATGCATTAAAAAATGAAAATGTAATTACTAGGAACGTTAGAATATACTGACATGGTCAAATGGACTTCATGTTACTTGGAAATGATGGATTTTAATATGGTGTTTAAAGGATTTCTGTGTAGATTTGGGATGGAAAAGATTCTATGGATTGAATGAGAGCTTTATTTCAGTTGATTTGAAATAAAAGGTGAAGGGAGTTACGTAAATTTCCTTCCTCTATCTCTCCTTATCCAACTTTATTAGGCACCAATTGTCTTAGATATTTGTGAATTGAACCTATATTTCCTCCTACCAATTTCAATTTCAATTTCAAATCCAAATCCAAATCCAAATCCAAATCCAAAATTAATTTTTATTGATAGGGTTCAGTTAAAATAATGTTGAATTCAAGTTATGCTGGTTGATCTAGGATCAGTATTTAAGAATGTATAGAGAATTGACAAAGAGTTCAAGGCTGAGAGTGCCTAACATTTAGGTTTTATTTTATGGAGTTTCACTATTAGTGAGCAAAGATATGCACTAAAGGAAAATTTTTTAGTAGTAAGTTACATAGATATACAAGTACTTGTAGCCTATATTTTGGTAGTCATGCCTTTTGTGTATTCTTGATCTTAAAATTTGAACCCATTTGCTAAATGGGCTTGCATGCAACTGAAACTAGTGCCGACTTTGAAAAACTAAAGAAAGACTTCAAAAATTTGTGGCAACAAGAAATGTGATCTCAAAATAATTTCAATCTCTCAGTTGTGAAGTAGAAAAATATTGGCAACTACATCAGCAACTAAAATAATAATAAAATAAAACAGAAATAAATAATAATTTATAATAAAATAATAGGAACTGCAGGCCTTCTGTGCCTGCCAGAAAAGACAACTACCTTTTGAATCCGCTTTCCTTTCTTGAGGTGCGCACCAGTAATTAGCGATTTTGACTATATAGGGGTAAACTTTTAACTCTCTGCCTGCATAAATGTGTTAGGCAAAAATACGAATGCTAACTCAGGTAATTTGCAGTGTCAAGTGTTGGCCAATGTTTGGCTGTATTTTTAAGCTTACTACTTTAATTTAGCTAGTATTCTTGCTCCTCCTCTCTCTCTCTCTCTCTCTCTCTCTCTCTCTCTCTCTTTACTTAAATAAAAAAATTTGGGTCCTAACATGCTTGACATTTTTACACAGATCAAGTGACTATTGAGACGTCTCATCATTTGCATATGCCTAGGCAAACATCATTAACCAACACTAATTGACAGCACTCTCTATCAGACCTAATTATAACTTACAAGCCTATTATGAATAAAAATTCACTTTTCTCTCCTCCAGTTGATCTCTCACTATCATAGCTCCGTTATTTTGTTATTGTTACATCAATTTATCTTAGCGTTTTCCCCTTTTCTATTTATCAAAAAAAAAAAAAAAGTTTTCCTTTTTCCTTTTTCCTTTTTGGCTACTTTTCACACAGAGTTTAAACTATTAGCAACACAACTGGTAACTATAAAGTCATCAATTTTCCCAAAAGCCTAAACTATTTGGAAATGGGCCCAACAATGTATATCAAGCAGGGATATTAAAATCTGGAACCTACATAGGATGGGTGACAGAGTCTCGTGGATCGGATTGAGGATCGTAAGATTGTACTTTCTATTAAAAATAAGGCAAAAATACAAATTAGGATTATACATATTAAAAATAAGGTGAAAAATCACAAATTCAGCGATCCCATTTACAATCCTACCTATGATCCTATTTGCGATCCTACTATAACACTGATCTTACAGCGATTTGGATCGTTTTGGTAATTTAGGATCGCAGGATTACGATCAGGATCGCAATTTTGATAACCATGATATCAAGCTATCTAACATCCTCCCTCACATGCAACCCCATCTTGCACATGGAGGGACAAATAGATAACCAAACAGAAGGAGAAGCAAACGGAGACAAAATACCAAATGTCAATGGAAAGACTTGAACCCAAAACCTCTCTTAGCCTGAGCTTTGATACCATGTTTTAAGTAACTAATTTTTCCAAAAGCCTAAGCTGTTAGGAAATGGGCTCAACAATGTATATCAAGCTATCCAACACTAACAATCCTTCTCGTTGCCTTGCAGCTGCACATGATTAGCTCCTCATGTGCCAACCTAGTTGGGATATGTAAAGGTAGCGATGATGCAGGTTTTCCGCTTAGGATTCTGTTGTTCAATCGTTGTATGCTTTGGCTTCAATCAATGAAATTTATCTTTTTTGCTGTGAAAAAAAAGAAGAAAACCACAACTGCTCTAATTCTTTCTTGTATAACTTCAATTATTTAACAATAAAGAGGAACAATGGGTGAAGATCCTGCAAAAACTTTACACCAGTGTTATCTCTTTGTCCACTTCACAGTATAATCTCTTAGGATCTAGCAACGTTTGCATAAATTGATATGAAAATAATGCAAAAAGAGTTAATTTTGATGCTCTTCATGTGTTGGTCTTATAATGCTGGTCCCCTTAGCTTCCTCAGTTATTTGATCCTGATTTCTGACACAATTGGACTTGCTTGAAATTTCAACTTCAACACTTATTTTGCATTTAGGAGGGAGTGTATGACAGAATCTTGATATCAGTATTCATGTTTGCTGCTATTCTTCTTATTTTTATGTTGTTATTATCAAAGACACAGTTAGCTTAAGTTATGTTTTATGGAACTTTTATTTGATAATTGTAGTTATGGATGTTGTAGTAATTCCTCAAACTTTTGCATCTGCTAAAACCTAGGAATGGCAATGGGGCAGTTTGGTAAGGGCTTGGCCTAACCTATACCACCCTAATAGCCAACTCAGCAGCAGCTCAGTTGCGATATTCGGCTGTCAGCTTCAGCCATCTTCTTACTTCTACTTCACCTTGTACGCAGTCCACCTAAACCTGGCACCCTTCTTAGTTCAGCTCCTCTTCTTCCCCTAATTTTTTTCCTCCCCTCTAAATAGCCTGCCTGTAGAAGATTGTATTTGTAGAAAAATGGAGAAGCAGAACAAGCAAGATGAAATATCTGATCAACTTCAATGCAAGAAAAGAAACATCAAATGGAGAAGCAGGACAAGCAAGATAATATGTCTGATCAACTTCAATTAAATCAATTAATGCTTTAACCCCCATTTCTAGAGAGGCTGTTTCTGTGACTAAAACCCATGTCACCAGGACTCACGCAAGTCTTATCATTGGGTCAAGTCACTCTTTAGAAAGCTGAATCCAAGAGAGAGGGACTAACCTGAAGTGAAGTTTGTTTTGCCTAGGGCCCTAATGGTTGCAGCTATGTTGACGACAATGATAAGTGGGACACAGAGGACGACTTCCTCAGTTGTGAAGGGAGGATAGAGGGAAAGAAAGAAACCTGTATCTTCTATTATATATATATCAAGTCTGCATCAGGAATATTGAAATATATCAGGTGTATTTGAGGAATTTAGTAATCATACTGGGTAGGTTCAGGGCAGGGTGACCTAAATCCTACTCCGACCCAAACCTTCGTCGTGTTATGCATCTCTTTCCTTAAGCCGCTCCTCAATTAATTTATGCTCAACACCCCCCATTAAGGGCGGGTTGGGCCCTTGAATTTCTGGATTAATTTTCCCTTCCTACCAAAATCCAAAAAGCTTCTTTTTGTTGTTTTGTTTAAGCATTTTTGTTCACATTAGATTAGATAATTTTACTTTTCAAGTGTGGCCTTTAATTAATTAAACACTCAAAAATTAAATTAAATGAGAATCCTTCATTTCATTTAAGAGAACATTCCTTTTTTTTTTTTTTTATACGTTCCCACTGTGATTTTAATTTATTCTTTGCACAAATTTTTTATCAACGCAGTCTAGTGGAGAAGGTGGGTGCCTGGCTGTAAACTACTTTACATTCTCGTCTAGCATTGCTGACAATTTGAGATCAGCATCTCTTGTTATCAGTCATGCAGGTAAGCATAATGTCCAGTCGATTTCTCATATTGAATGATCATAATCTTCTGAAGGTTTTACATCTGTTTCATTGGCCAATGAACTTTTTGATTCACTCAAAACAGAATAAACACAGAACTTTATTAACAGCTCAACCGTTCAAAAAGTGTGTACATTTAGCCTTGAAATTTCAAAATAATGTTGATCCCTTGTTATTGAGCTTATTTACATGGACAAGTATTCAAAAGTATCAAAATTTTGTTTCAACATCACTACAGTCAGCTCAGAAATGCAAACATTATAGTGAAATAGGTGAAACAGGAAGGAAAAAAAAAAAGAAGAAAAGAAAAAAAAAGAAGAAGAGGAAGAAGAAGAAGAAGAAGAAGAAGAAGAAGAAGAAGAAAGAAGGTAATACATGCAAGTTTTTGGAAACATAAATTAAAATTTAGGGTAAATTACATTGAGCACCCTGAGGTTTAGAAAAAAAATACAGTAAGCCTCACAAATTTGACATACACAATCTCTTTTTTAGTAAGGCTAAAACAACTGAAATTAATGCTTGATAATGTGTGGATAGACACATGCATAAACAAAAGTAAAATATTCATTTAAGTGTGAAAGAGATGATAACATCAATCTCCCACCCATATGACTAACCAATTATTGATGAAAAGGTGCTAAGTGTTATATGAATTAAAATCTCAATAGAGCCCACTATAATTATGCCAAACTTGTGAGGCTCAACATATTTTGTCCAAACCTCAAGGGAGGTTGGTGTAGTTTGACCTAAAATTTATTACTATCGATCAAAAGCCTAATAATTGATTAATTGAACATGTTTGAGGTTTGTGCATTCACTTATATAAAGGGTATGGAACAAGCAACATAGACACTTTTAAAAAGGTGACGTGTTTGTGTTGGACACTGACACAACTTGGATACTTTCGGACACATGTTTGATACTCTTTTTTTCTTGTCCATAATTAAAAAATAAAAATCACAATATTGGACGCGTATCTGATACTTATTTTGTAATGCGTTTGTCACTTCTTGATCTTGTCTCACTAAAAAATAAACATGTGGTTAACACTTCTTGGACATTTGTTAACACAGTTTTTAAAGTTTGAGAATTTGACATAAATATCTTGTACCTTGAAAAAATGTAAAATTATTAAGAATAATCCTGTAAAAGATTTACATAAACTAGAATAAAAAATGAAAAAGTATGTAAATGTATTAGTAGATGACTTGGGAAGATGAGAGAAATGTTGCAATTATATATGTCTGTTATAGTTTTGTCTGATTTTTAACTACTATGGTCTAGTAGTCTAAAAATTCATGTAAAAGAATTAGATACAAGATGTTTGTGGCGTGTCCAAACCGTGTCCGTGTCCTACTTTTTTTGAATTTGCCATGTCCACATGTCCATGTTGTGCCGTATCCGTGTCCCTTGTCTGTGTCTATTGCTTCATAGGGTACTGGTGTAGAATAAGAAAGTTAATGTTAATGCCAATGAAAAGTTGTTCGAGTGATTTCAAACACAACACATCAACATCATCAAACAAAAGGATATATAATTCTGGAGTAGCATGACTTTTAAAGATTGAAAAAGCAAAAATTAAAAAAAAAAAAAATTTAAATAGTTCATTTGGGAAAGGAGGAGGGTCCTCTGTTTCATGGGAAAATTTTAGTCTAGGTTCAAGCAGCACTAGGGAAGAAGAAGAAGATTACAATGGCAAACAATCTTAATTTTCGCTCTTTGCCCTCTAGCCTTCCTTAAGTGGCGCAAGTGGCACAACATCTCTCTCTCTCGGATGCCCAAACATATTTGAGATGTTTCTTTGTTCTTAGATCTTTGCTTTGTGCTTTTCTTATCCTAAAATAGTTGGAGAAATAACAATTTTGTAAGAGATTCTATATTCATGCTGACACAACCAATTGTTTTGGGGCATTTCATTATATTTCAGTGTATTTTGATGGACAAGAATTATTTTTTATTTTTTTAATTTCCCCCCCTTTCTTGGCAATGCTTGGTGGGATTTTGTAACATGATTCATATAGCATCTTCCTAGTTCTAGTTATATATGTATATATATAATATAGGATACAACAATCACTAGATGGGCAGTTTCAATATGTGGACATATTTCGTGAAATATTAAATCTAGAAGACAAATCCTTGGAACAACTGAACTCAATTCATGATTAGAATTATTTGCCTCCTCTGTGTTTGTGTTTCAAAGATTTTATGGATCACTACTTCTGGAAGTTGTCATATCTCTCAATTTTCTGCATGTGGTCTCTTCAACTCCCAAATCTGCAGTCATCAAAAAGGATATGACATAATGGGTAGCCTACCCGAGCCCATTCTTCTAAATCCTGCTTTTTGAAACTTATCAAAAGCTCTTTAAAACTCTAGTACATTTGCTGCTTGCCTATTTATTTTGTTTCTTTAGTATTTCTGAAAATATTTAATTGTATATGTATATAAAGTTACAAAATGAATCTAGGAATCTACGTCAAACTTTCGCTCCATGATTCTTCCTTCAAAAGGGGATAAGGCCCTGGAAATTAAGCTAGTGTTCTCACCAGCCAAATGGGGAGTTAAATTCCCAGATGTAGTGAACCTGAGCATTGCTGATGCCACATTATTGTATTCTTCTTTTCCAACCCTCTTTGGGTGAGGAGATCACTTAGCATTGGACAATTTCCCCGCTCTAACCCTGCCGCTGACTGCTTCCCAAGTACTTGTTTCAGATGAGAAAACACAAGAAGTATCTGGTTTTTAAGCTGTTTCGGTTTATCACAGGTGGGTTGTGTTATGGACGAGTTGGAATAGTTGTTTCTTTTTTTCTTTTTTTTTTTTTTTTTTTTTAAACAATTTTTTTTTTTTTTTTTTTTTTTTTTTTAAACAATGAATTAAACATGCATTCTGTATGGGTTATATTTCTGAGCTTATAGGAGGAAAGGAAATAATAACAACAAAATGAAGTCTATTGGACACTGAGTTAAGTTTATTAACTTCTAATGCTGCTGCGTTCTGATCCTGGTGTTTTATGGTAGTGTAGCTAGTCGCTACCTTTTTTTTACTTGGGACAAGTTTTTAATCTAGTGTGTAAAAAGCACGAGAGTTGTTTAAGAGTGAATTTTGTTATTGTTACAGGTTCAGGGAGCATATTTGAGACGTTGAAGCTGGGTAAGGCTTTAATTGTTGTAGTGAATGAGGATTTGATGGACAATCATCAAAGTGAGTTAGCAGAAGAACTAGCAGAGAGGAAGCATTTGTTTTATGCTCGCCCTCAAACACTCTTAGACACTATCAAGGGTATGACATTGGAGACTCTCATTCCATATCATCCGGGTGATGCTAAACCAGTTGCCAAACTCATTAATCGGTTTCTTGGTTTTCCGGATGATTGATTTAGCTGCATAGTTGAGTTACGCATTGGAATTTTTTTAACTTTTCCCTGTTTTTTTGCTTCATGTTTTGACGAGGCATGAGCCGTCTGGAAAGCATGTTGTGGAAAGTGTATTAAGTCCAATATCATTTGCTTGTGTTTTGTTTACAAAGTATTTTTCAAGAAAGGGTGTCATGAAAGGGATTTTGGATTCATGTTGCAAAATTTTGTTAACATTTAGGCCAAGTTTGACATGTCCAGGAAAAGTCAAAAAATCAAAAAGTTACTCAAAAAGTTAAAAAGTTAACACTATTCACCAAAAGTCAATAATTATGGCTGCACAACTCCCAATCCTAATTTTCTTCTATAAACCAATTTTTACAATTTTTTATTATACATTTTTTTCATAAAAAGTCAAAAAGTTAACCCAAACATTTATATTTTCTTCCTCAATTTTTTAGTCTAAAAAGACAAAATGTGCACTTATTTAGGACACCCCAAACAATCCCTTATTACACTGTTAGCCCAATAAAAATCTCATCAATTGGAGTACCATTGCTATATATGTATGTATACACATATATTGTATGTGTCTATGATATGTCCTAGGTTGAAACTGAAACAAAGGGGTGTGTTGAAGCTGGTTGGATTACCATTTTTGAAGATAATATATATATATATATATATGTCTGTAAAGAGGTTTCCAAACATGAGCCTGCAATTGTACCTTTCACCAGCATGGTCTTTTGCCCTACTGGTATTAAATTCGTGTACATGATATGCTCAAACACTAACTTCTCTGTTTCAATTTCAAGGACTGGTTCAAGTCCGTAGCAGCTACATTAACTTTGTGATTTACTCTCTCTCTCTCTCTCTCTCTCTCTGAGGATAGACTTTGTTGTGTGAGATGCTGTCAAAGATGACAGACGTAGGTCACATGGACTATGGCTATGCAATGTCACTCTCACAATTATGGAAATTGTAAATGGACACAGAGTACAATTATGAAAGTTGTAAATGAACAGAGAGTACATTTCTCTCTTTTGTTTTTGTTTTTGTTTTTTTATTAAACATTAGTCTAAAAATAGTAGGTAATGATGTTTCAGTGAGGGTTTTGCTTCTCAAAATTGGGAGGTCAAATCTGTTTAGTAGAAGATACTTCCTCAGTCTATAATGTTGCCGTGGACAATTAATTTTTTTCCCCTCAATAAAAAACATGTAAACACACATGACCCTTGTTACAATTTCTAGTATTTCTTTCTCTATATATATTTAATACCTTAATACAACGGTCGAGCATGACGTGTATTACAATGTCTGATATTTTTATAATTATTCAATACCTTGGTACAAGTTACAACAATCAGTACTTGAGAAAGTCCAGTGACTAGGGTTTGATTGCTTAAATATTTTAAAGAACAAAAAACAAAAAAAGCCAATCAATTTTGTGGCACGTTATGAACTCTTGTCTTCTTAACCGCTTCCGATAAACATCCATTTTAAATTAGCAGGAACACTTAAAAGGTAGTAACCCTTAAATTCAGGTTAGCCATTTGTCTTTTCACACCCACGAATTATTAATAATGTAGCTTCTTAATTAGTACTAGCATAAGCATAAGCATTAGCATGGGGGTTATGATTGAATTAACACACATGCTTTAGGCATGTGAATGCTTGTTTGTTTTTCAGCTTCAGAAAGTCAGTCAAACCAGCAATTTCACTCATTTTCTCTACCAATCTACTGACTATAAATTACATTTTTTTTAAAAAAAAAAACTAAAAATTAAAAAAAAAAATAAAATTTTGCAAACAGCAGAATGTTGATTGGTAAGAATTATTGTCATGTGTAGATACATTTGAAATGGTTCAAAAGCTTCCAATCCAATGTCTGCTGACAAAAGGAAGAAAGACAAAGACTATACCTCATATAATACAAATGTGACAGAGCAAGTGCAGTAGCAGATGAGCCCTGATTGCTCACAAAAGAGAGAGAGAGAGAGAGAGAGAGAGAGAGAGAGAGATTCCCATCTTCTGGCCATTCTGTCAATATGACCTAGCAAATGAAACCACAATCCACATTGCATATCTCTCTCTCTCTCCCTCTCTCTCTCTCTCTCTCTCTGTAGCAATTCTTTCTCAGTTCATTGATGTTTGTGCTGATGGAAACTAACACCACTGTCATTCCTGCAAGCCCACCAGTCCCTTCTGCAGAAAACGATACCCACAATCACCACCATCCTTCACAGCCTCACCACCATGATATTATCCCTCCCACTAACATTCTCATAATCATCTTACCCATCACCATAATCATCTTACTCCTCTCCATTCTCCTCATTATAGTAATGCTCCGACGTCTGAAATCTACTAAAAACAACGGCAATCGAAAAAGCAACAACAGCATCAACAAGAATAATTGCATGTTCATTGCTCATAGCACTATCAACATCAATGCAAGCCCAAGTAAACAACCAAATCCCAAATTTCACACTACTTTCATATTAATCTTTGTCACATATTACTGTTTGCAAATATTAATTTGATGTTGGTATTTGAGAACATGGCAGATGTGAAGGGTGGGTGTCTTTATGGAGGGAATTCAGTGCGAATTCCATCATCGGGTAAATTTAGAGGAGTCCAAGTGTTCACCTACAAGGAGCTTGAAGTGGCAACTGACAAGTTTAGTGAAGCAAATGTGATAGGTAATGAAGAATTTGTAGTAGTTTACAGAGGGATCTTAAGAGATGGTACTGTGGCAGCTATCAAGATGTTGCACAGGGAAGGCAAGCAAGGCGAGCGTGCTTTCCGGATAGAGGTTAGTTTAACATCATTTTAGTCTCTCCTAAATGTTTTGTTTTCTTCTCTTCTCTCAAATCGTTTCTTTGTTGCTTTTCATTTTTTTATCTGTAGTGTTTTATTACTTTGTAAATAGATGTAGATATATTCTTTGATGTTGTTCTTCCAATTTATACTAAGTTCATTAGGAACCAAAACCAAACACAAGAAAAGCAGGTCTGCTGTTTAACAATGGTTTTCAATCACAGTCAATACAGTATATCAGCATAGGAAGTATTGGAATGGGTTCGTATGTTGATAAGCTTACATTACTGGCATTAGTATTACCGACATGACAAAACTTTTTTAAAAAATAGAATGTGTATGGTCTGGTATGATATGTCCAAAAAAAAAATAGTAGTCAATGTTTTAAAAATCGGATTGGTGAGCAAATCGGAAAAAGAATCGGGTGGATGAGTTACCGGTTCAACCGTCGGATTGAACCGAAATCGAATCGTGACGTAATAAATATATTAAAATTATTTTTAAATAAAAATGTAAGTAAACTTATAAATAAGTTTCCCAATTTTAAATTATAAATATTAAATTATCTTAAATATTTGTCCTAATATTTTTTTTTTACTGAAAAATATAATAATATATTTTAAAATATTATTAATTTTAATTTTGGAAGAGGAAATCAAATATTCAATATTCCCTCCATATGATTTTAATTCAAATAATTTGATTGAAAGAGGAGCAAAAATTTTGGAAGGATATCAAAATTTTAATATTCCCTCCAATACATTTGATTGAATCCTATATGGATTTCTTGAGTTTTTTTTTTCCTTATAAATAGGTAGAGATTTTCACAATAATTTCAAGCATTTGATGGGATTCACAAGAGAAGACTATTGAAAGAGAGTTTCTAATTAAATTTATCTTATTTTATATTATATATATATATATATATATAATAAGAAAGAAAGAATAAAAAAAAAAAATTCAATTTCATCTGCCCGGCGAATCGGCTTCGGGTCACCGGTTCAACCGCCAGTTTTTCCAGTTCTCTCTAAATAGGCCGATTTTTAATTTCGAACGGTTTAGTAGGTATATTAGGACCAAAACCCCGACTGATCAATGGTTTAACCAGACGGTCCGATTCGGCTTTCAAAACCATGCACACAATTAAAAATTCAAATGCACAAACTAAAGTATTTTTGTAATGGCCAAAAAAATAATATATATATATTTTTATATTTTTGATAATTGTAAAAATATCCTATATTTTTAAAGTTTTTAAAAATAGGCACAATATAATTATTCAAGTATCTATTTTTTTTGAAAAAAAAATTACATTTGCACTCCAAAGTACACCCACAAAAATATCCAAAACTCATTTCTTACCACATAAATGCCTGATACTCGTACAACAATAATATTTTCAGAGTACTCTTCTTTCATAGATGTTCTTACCTCACCTAAAAGTACAAAAAAACTGGCAGCAATGTTGACTTGCACATGGGTGTGCAATTCAAAAGTTACAATAAATCCTTTTATTGTAATTTTGTGATTATTTTTGGCAGGTGGATTTACTAAGCCGATTACAATCGCCTTACTTGGTGGAGATGCTTGGCTACTGTGCAGACCAACATCACCGGCTTCTAATATTTGAATTCATGCCCAATGGTACACTCCAACACCACATCCACCATTTCCTCAACCATTCCCGGCCGTTGAATTGGGGGACCCGTTTGCGAGTAGCCCTTGACAGTGCCAGAGCCCTTGAATTTCTTCATGAGCATACATTGCCATCTGTCATCCACCGTGACTTCAAGTCCAGTAATATTCTCTTAGATCAAAATTTCAGAGCCAAGGTATTTGATTTTGGTTTGGCAAAGACTGGCTCAGACAAGATCAATGGTCTAGTTTCGACTCGTGTGTTGGGGACCACCGGTTATTTAGCCCCCGAGTGAGTGCCTCATTAATTATCTGTCATGGATCTCTCATTTTCATTACGACATCCCATCCGTAAGCAACTTCATTCAATCATGCAGTGGTGGAGTCACATGAGACTTGGGGGTTAAACAAAAATAATATTTAGAATAAAATGTCAATGGTATTTTTAAATTAATGAAAACGATAGTGGTTGTTTTATTAAAAATGAAGTGATCACAATAAATTATATTTTTATGTATGAAAATTTTATAAAAAAATCTTAATATAAAAGTAATATCAATCATTATTGATATGCAAATATAATTAATCTCACTATATATATGTAAAAATTAATAGAGTATTAGTCATATTTGCATGTGGAGTTTATCCTTCATATGTTACTTTACTATTGGTTGGTGATATTATATGTCAATAATGACGTGATATCACTATTATATGAAAGTTTTACTCAAAGTTTGTAAAAATTTAATTTATCTTACCATTATATAGTTTATTTTAAGACTTAAATATATGACTGTTTTTACATTATCCATGATACACTAGTTACACGCAATATTTTCTTTTCGATTTTACTTGAAGTTAATTGTAAAATTTTATGTGAAATCCTTTTGTAATAATTTATTTAAGTTTTTGTACTTAATATTAATTTAAAAATTATTATTATCTTCTTATTATTGGCTATGAAAAAAAAAATTAAAATTATAATCAAGAAATGTTCTTTCTGATTTAGTTTCATGACTATGCCACTGCAATCATGCACAAAGGACTAGCTATGGTCCCCCATTTAACAGTCTGTAGTTTTCTCTAGTCGTTAGGGGCGGTTTGGGGGAGGATAAATGTCCATGCCTAAATACCAAATTCTGAAAGCTGCCCTGCTTTTCATATTCAATTAGTCTACTCCATGAACAATCTGCCCAATAATTCATCAAATATGTAGACATGAGTTTCCAAACAGGCCCTTAACTACACATAAAAGTCGCTCACATTAAGCAGTTGTCAGGATTAGCTAACCATGAAGTAAAACATCTTGTGACCTGACTTGCTAATTTTATTTTATTTTGAAATGTAGGTATGCTTCAACAGGTATCCTTACCACAAAATCAGATGTATACAGCTATGGTGTGGTCCTTCTAGAGCTCTTAACCGGTCGTGTGCCAGTCGATACCAAGCGGCCTCCAGGAGAACATGTTCTTGTCTCTTGGGTCAGTACAAATATCCGTCAATCTTATTCTAAAAAAGGCATATAAGCTGCTATTTCTAAACACAATGATTGCCTATTATGACTACACTTGTCTCTAAGCAGTATAATCATTAACCATAACATCTCAGCCAGACCCCTTGAGTTTCCACTGTACTTTTACACAGAATTTTTACCTAATGTCAAAATTGTCATATGCTCGTATGCAATGAGCTAAAGTGAAAACATTTTCAACTGTTGTTTCTTCTGCAACTTTTTAGGCTCTTCCAAGGTTAACTAACAGACAACAAGTAATGGAAATGGTGGACCCGTCTCTAAAAGGCCAGTATTCCAAAAAGGATCTAATCCAGGTCAGTTTTGCTATCTATCTATATATCATCATCATTGTCGTCATCATCAACATTATTGAAGCTAAAATTAAAACAATTGATGCTTTTTTTTTCCTTCTGGGTTTTACAGATAGCTGCTATTGCAGCCATGTGTGTGCAGCCAGAAGCAGATTACCGGCCTCTAATGACAGATGTAGTGCAGTCCTTAATTCCTCTGGTTAAGAATCTCTCTTCCAATTCCTTGAGATTTAGTCAGACAGTAAGTCCCATGTGTTAGGGCTTTTGGAACTACAATTTGAGTCCAAAATCTCAATCACTCAATAAACCAGCTGGATCATCATGTGACAACTCAATGTGGGAAAAATCTCAATCATTCTGCCGCGGCACCAAAAATGGTTCATGTGCCTTTAGGACAAGGTCATAATCAGCTGGTCCAATTTTTGTCTGACCAAGAACCATGTAGTGTATTTGTACGAATTGTGTAGCACTAGGCTATAACTTTCAGTTCTTAAAGCAGACAAAGAAGCAGCGAAATGTACCAATGCATTTGAGATTTAAAATATGTATATATCTACAAGGTCTTAAAAATAATCTGATCACACAGCTGTTGTGATTGTCCTTTGTAGGCAAGCATCTTGAACATTCAAATATCATGCACTCCAATTTAAAGAAAGCAGTAGTAATCGAATAATAATTACATGCTTTCATCAAGATTGAAAATATTTCTCATTGAACAAAGTGTGATGGTTGTGATTTTGCTAAGGTTTTTGCTACTGTAGACAATTGTGTACAAGTGCAAATGAGATTCAAAACAAAGATGATAGACTGCAGCAATATGGTGTAGTTTCAACAATTTGTGCCATCAACCATGCCATTTTTTACACATACATAAAATAGTTAAACAATAATGCTACGAGCCCATAAAAAATACTTAGAAATTATCTAGAATTTGAAATGTGTGCGTCAGAGTGTGACCTACACTACACTATGTTTAAATTTACATTATACATTCAAATTTTGAATGCTTTTCTAACAACAATGATCTTATAAGTAAAGCTACCTGCATAAAATCCGGTAGTGTAACATGTAAGTATTGAAATAAACTAGAATTCCAAAGGTGCAAAAACAAAATGGCCCCATTCCAAATGCAATAGAAAATAAACTTCATTATTTAATTCATTAAATGACCTAAGTGCCTTGGTAAAGTGTGGATTCATGATTTTAAGCTTCATGGATTATAATTACATTGCTTATTAGGATTATATTAATCATAGATTATAATTATATTGTTCCTCAATGCTTATTCTTCTCACTGTGCCAAAACTACTACATTTTTCAAAAGACAGAAAAGTTCCAATGTTGATTGTTCTAGTTTAGTAGGGAACCAAAATCTTATGTTATTGTCATTATGAGGATAAGAAGAGCAAGTTGAGAGAGAGCAACATGCTAGGAAAGCAAGAGTTTTGGTGTTCATCCCATCAGTATCTTCATCCATGGATAGTATCCCCTAGGTGGATCACACGATTAACATCATACATGTGAAACAAATGCGCAACCAAACACTAGTTCTCATACTCAATCACATCATACATGTGAAACAAATGCGCAACCAAACACTAGTTCTCATACTCAATCGGAAAGATAACTAGAAAACTAAATGTACTCATAGCCCAATCCAAAAACCTGACATATAGAAAACAAAGTTTTCATATCCATGGAAATAACCCAACAACAACTATATTTGTTTGGGACCAAAGGAGCTAATGTAGCTATTTTTTTTTTATAGAACTTTGACACATAAATGTTAGATATACAACCTTCAATAGGTCAATTTGGATATTTGTTATTTAAGGTACATAATTTTCTTAATGAAGGGAGGATGATGTGGCTATGACAATGTAGTAAATAGGAACTTGTTCTACTGAGTTGATCTCCATAGTATCCATGGAACAAAGACCGATATGGTTATTATGTCTCAGAAGATCATTCAAGCATTGACATTGACTACAAGACTCCGACTAATGGTATTTTATCTAAAATGTGGTTTATCCTATCATGTAAAATTGTGAAAACTTGTTTGTGATGTTGTGTCAGTAGTGAAAAGTAATTTGTCTTATTGTAAAAGTAACTTGTCCTATTGTACAATTTTATTACTGTACTTTGGTGTGTATTATTGTTATACTATGGCAGATATACTCATATGTTGTCCATGTCTCCTTTATTATTATTATAATATGCCCTGGAGTTCTTCCTTCGTCTATATAAGGGAGTTCCTACCACCTTATAAGAGGCCTCAGTCACCCATGTAACATACTTGTGGTTTTCTTGTGTAAATACTGAAAATTAACATGACTCATACGAGTGTAACATAATTTTAAAGTCTGAATATTAAAAACACAAGACATGGAAGCAGGTAAAACAGAGGCCTAAAAACTAGCTAAGGAAGAAGAGGCACTGCTGGAAAAATGACTTTTAGCGGCGTTGCCGCTAGTCTTAAAAATAATCTGATCACACAGCTGTTGTGATTGTCCTTTGTAGGCAAGCATCTTGAACATTCAAATATCATGCACTCCAATTTAAAGAAAGCAGTAGTAATCGAATAATAATTACATGCTTTCATCAAGATTGAAAATATTTCTCATTGAACAAAGTGTGATGGTTGTGATTTTGCTAAGGTTTTTGCTACTGTAGACAATTGTGTACAAGTGCAAATGAGATTCAAAACAAAGATGATAGACTGCAGCAATATGGTGTAGTTTCAACAATTTGTGCCATCAACCATGCCATTTTTTACACATACATAAAATAGTTAAACAATAATGCTACGAGCCCATAAAAAATACTTAGAAATTATCTAGAATTTGAAATGTGTGTATCAGAGTGTGACCTACACCACACTATGTTTAAATTTACATTATACATTTAATTTTTGAATGCTTTTCTAACAACAATGATCTTATAAGTAAAGCTACCTGCATAAAATCCGGTAGTGTAACATGTAAGTATTGAAATAAACTAGAATTCCAAAGGTGCAAAAACAAAATGGCCCCATTCCAAATGCAATAGAAAATAAACTTCATTATTTAATTCATTAAATGACCTAAGTGCCTTGGTAAAGTGTGGATTCATGATTTTAAGCTTCATGGATTATAATTACATTGCTTATTAGGATTATATTAATCATAGATTATAATTATATTGTTCCTCAATGCTTATTCTTCTCACTGTGCCAAAACTACTACATTTTTCAAAAGACAGAAAAGTTCCAATGTTGATTGTTCTAGTTTAGTAGGGAACCAAAATCTTATGTTATTGTCATTATGAGGATAAGAAGAGCAAGTTGAGAGAGAGCAACATGCTAGGAAAGCAAGAGTTTTGGTGTTCATCCCATCAGTATCTTCATCCATGGATAGTATCCCCTAGGTGGATCACACGATTAACATCATACATGTGAAACAAATGCGCAACCAAACACTAGTTCTCATACTCAATCGAAAGATAACTAGAAAACTAAATGTACTCATAGCCCAATCCAAAAACCTGACATATAGAAAACAAAGTTTTCATGTCCATGGAAATACCCCAACAACAACTGTATTTGTTTGGGACCAAAGGAGCCAATGTAGATATTTTTTTTATAGAACTTTGACACATAAATGTTAGATATACAATCTTCAATAGGTCAATTTGGATTTTTGTTGTTTAAGGTACATATTTGTTGTTTAAGGTACATAATTTCTTAATGAAGGGAGGATGATGTGGCTATGACAATGCAGTAAATAAGAACTCGTTCTATTGAGTTGATCTCCATAGTATCCATGGAACAAAGACCGATACGGTTATTATGTCTCAGAAGATCATTCAAGCACTGACATTGACTACAGGACTTCGACTAATGGTATTTTATCTAAAAAGTGGTTTATCCTATCATGTAAAATTGTGAAAACTTGTTTGTCATGTTGTGTCAGCAATGAAAAGTAATTTGCCCTATTGTACTATTTTATTATTATACTTTGGTGTGCATTATTGTTATACTATGGCAGATACACTCACATGTTGTCCATGTCTCCTTTATTATTATAATATGCCATGGAGTTCTTCCTTCGTCTATATAAGGGAGTTCTCACCGCCTGATAAGGAGGCCTCAGTCACCCATGTAACATACTTGTAGTTTTCTTGTGTAAATACTGAAAATTAATATGACTCATACTAGTATGTCATAATTTTAAAGTCTTACTATTAAAAACACAAGACATGGAAGGAGACAAAACAGAGACCTAAAAACTAGCTAAGGAAGGAGAGGAAGGCTCGTCCAGTCAATCCCCAAAGTAGTACAGTCCATCACGCTTATTACCCTTGTCAAAAATCCTCTTCGAACTCAGGTCCTGTAAAACGCAAGAAAAGAGTAAGAAAATGACAGCACAATTAATTTGTTTGGTAAGACGACTAACATATAAGAGATTATATGCAAAATTTGGAACATGTAAAATAGATGATAAAATAATGGTAGAGGATAAAGACACTACATCCTTATAATGAATAGAGAATAAAGAACCATCAGCAAGACACACTGATTGGGCAATAGTAGTAGGGATTGGCGAAGGAAAAAAAAGAAAACTCACCCATCATATGATCATATTAGCCCCAGAATTCAAAACCCATGAAGGACTAGTAGACCGAACATGGAAAGCAGTAGAAGTACTTATTGCAAGAGTGGTAGCAGAGGTAGACGATTTGCCAAGAGAATTGGCGGTAAGAGATCCAAGTTGAGCTTGAATCTGACCACTTCGAGTCTGTAACTCCTATAAATTAGAGAGATGAGGAAACCTAGGAGCAGGAGTAGTGGAATCCACTAGAGCCGCAGTGCAAGAGGTGCCAACACCACGAGGGTGAGAGGAACGTTGCCTTAACTCAGGATGAAGTTTGAAGCAACGAGCCTTAACATGACTAGAAATGCCACAATGATGACAAGTAACGGACTAGTAGAACCCCGAGAACCAGACTTTGCAGCAAGAGCCATTTGATTAAATGAAATTAGAGACAAGGGAGAAGGATTTGGCTAAACTAGAATCCTACGACGCTCATCACTATTAATGGTAACAAAGGCCTCATAGAGAGAGGGCATAAGTGGTATGTTTAAAATATGAGTTCGAAGGGATTCAAACTCAAAGTTTCAACCCATCAGAAACTGGTAAGTATGCTGGCGAGCAAGGCGTCTGGACACAAGAGAGGCATCATTTGCTGGTAACTCAATTAGGGGCTCATATTGAGCCAATTCTTCCCAATGGGCCTAAAGGTATCCAAAGAATTTTGACATAGAAAGACCCAAGGTAGACTAGGAAGCACAAGCAATATCCTGATAGAGCAGACATCTGTGACAAGGCATGCAATAGACCGGGAACTGTGTCGCAATAGAGAAACATGTGATAAATACGATTTTTCATGGAATTGAACATCCATCCCAAAATAATACAGTTATCAATATCCCATTGTGTGCGGGTATGATCTATTGCAGCATGCTAGGTAGTGGAAGATAAAAGCCAATGAGCTTTTCCCTTGCCTTCTAAATAGAGTTTAAAAGAGCAGTTCTAGGCGGCAAAATTTTTCCCATTCAACACCACACTCATAATACGATGAATAGGAGTGTGATGAGAAAGAGAAAAATCAGAACTAATTGGGACAGGCTTGGTGGGTATATCAACAATAAAGGATGGATTAGTCA